CCTCCTCTTTTACTTTTGATGATTTTCACTAACGATTAACTTATTGACAATTTACTGCATCCGAATTTATTTCTATTTCAACGTAATAATTAATAATTGTGAGTTTTAAAATCATAATTTTCAGTCCTTCTTAGCTGTGACTCATTTCTGACATTTCACCTTTTTTTTTTTGTCCCTGTTTGGCTCTCTACCTGGCAGCAGCGCTGTGTGTGTGTGTGTGTGTGTGTGTGTGTGTGTGTGTGTGTGTGTGTGTGTGTGTGTGTGTACATGTTTTGGCGGGCTGTGTTTGAGGCAGCGTGCAGGTGGCGGTGGTCGAGGTGCGTTCGGTTCACGCTGTGTAACACTCCTGCCCTCTGTTTGCGCTGATGGTGCAGTGTCATGGTGATGGTTGGCGGCCAAAAGAGCGTGAAAACAACAAAAAAGGCACAAAAAAAAAAAAAGCTGCGACAGGAAGCTGCGGCAGCAACACTTCCCCTCTAGCGGCGAATCAAAGATGAAGCGTCGTGGTCCCGAAAAACACCAGAGCAAAGAAAAGGAGCAGGAACCAGAGATTGACACGGACCATACAGCACTTGACAAGCGTTCTCGTGGCGTTTGTTCAGTGAAATTAAACACTCAGGACGGTTTCACCTGCTCAGGCAGCAGCCGTGCATATGGCCCGCAAGTTAAAAATAAAGACAATGCGCATACATTAGCATACATAATGTAGAGCGACCCCCATTTAATATGCAAATTCAGTGAAATATTACTGAACACCTTCTGTTCGGAGAGAATACATTTGAATTTGCAATTAGAATTATCCTGTATAATTAATGAAAAGCGTCAATTTTTGGCTGCTCGCTAATTTGATTAAACATGGTGATGAGGCGTTTAGAGGCGCCGCCGGAGCGCAGGAGAAGAGACACCTGAGCAACGACCTGCAGGACCTGGATCAGGAAGTCAGGTGATCAGGGGGTCAGGTGATCGGGTGATCAGGGGGTTCTGATGTGGTTCTCGTGTCTCCACTTCCTCCAGAAATGAGACTCAAATATTTCAGATACAAACACTGCCATCTTGTGGTGATGATGTAATTTGCAGTCTGTGCAGTATTGATCGTGGAGTGGAGCTGTGGTTTTCATGACCTACACTGCAACCAGCCACCAGGGGGCGAGCCAGATGATGTGGCTTCTCTTTTGGGAGCTGTCATGTCGTCCATCTTTATTTAAGAAGATTGATGCCTCACCACGGTAACTTTCTGGAGGTTTCATCGTGACAGTTGCATTAACGCTCAGCTCAGTTTTGGAGGAAATGTCCACACTTCGAGATCCCAGGGACACATTTTCTCAACACCAGGATCTGAGTTCCTGAGATTCAAGTTTCTGTCTTAATTCACCACATCGACACTCGTTCTCTCTCTGTCTCTGTGTCTCTCTGTGTCTCTGTGTCTCTCTGTCTCTCTGTGTCTCTGTGTCTCTCTGTGTCTCTGTGTCTCTGTGTCTCTCTGTGTCTCTGTGTCTCTTGGCTGCCTGTTGGACATTATCAATTCAAACAACTTTATTTATCTCAGAAGGGAATTTTAGTTTTGCAGTTCACCAAACAAACACAATCAGCAGCAGCATCAACAGATCAATGACTGGGTTAGAGACCAGAGCAGCTGAAGAACAGGTCACGCGGTTTGATCCGAGAGTATCGAGGTCAAGAACAGATAAATAGATAAATAATTAAATGATGAGTTTACAGGACCACACGTTTCCTCCAGAGCTGGACTCCAAGGATCTTAAAGCAGACAATGGTATTTGGGCCGTTCTGTCCTTCACAGACAAACCAGCAGATAAAAGACAGTGTTGAAAGACTTTCAATTAAAGTGACATTCAGCTTTGTAACCAGTGGACTCTGTGTTGTTATCAAACTGGAGGGTGGAGTCGAACATGGCTCCAAGGTACTTATACGTACATATTATATGTGATTTCTGAATGAAGTCCTCGGTGTCTGTCACACTGAGGCCCAGGTAGTTTAACTGCTGCTCAGGCTGTGAATGATTTCATCAGTAATCCTCTTACAGCAGCCTGAAAGAATGAGGAGAGGGACGCTGACCTCAGTCTGCGGACGAGGCGTCGCTCTCTGCTGCCTCTCAATCTGAGATCACTCCTGATTGGCTGAGCGTTTGAGCTGAGGTCAGGTGGCAGAGTAGATGGAGTTTGACGTCACAGACCTGGAGGGTGTTTCCTGTTGAGGCTCGTGTTACATGGGAAATATTTTCCTGAGGAAGAGTTTCCTCACACTTTGTGAAAGTAGAATTCATACTTATTTTTTTCTTACCAACATAACGCTGTTGAACTATTTGTCACATACAAAATGTAAGAATCTTCAATCAGTGACAGATGAGCTCAGTATTTGGAGACGTCTCAGGACAAACACAGATTTCACACATTATTAATTTATCCTGTTAAACATATAAAACAAGTGACCAAGACCTCAAGACGAGTTTGACATGTTCATTCAGCAGAAAAAGCTTTTTTATCCTCTTCTCTCTTCAAATCCTACCTCGTATATCCGAGCCATCGTTGGCCGGAGTCCGGCCCAAGGTCAGGCCAGATGGTGCGGCTGGCTTCACCTTGCTGCTGACCGCTGGTCCCAGAGCAGCAGAGCCGAGCCGCCGCCAAACAGATGGAGTTTTAAAACCCTGAAATCTGCAGCAGAGATTCAGCAGGAAGAAAAAACATGTTTTCTCTGAGCTGTTTATACCAATTAGGTGTTTTTACTTACACAGTGTGTGTGTGTGTGTGTGTGTGTGTGTGTATATGTGTGTGTGTGTGTGTGTGTGTGTGTTTGATTTGGCACCACTGTCCGACGTGGTTCTGGTGTCGACTGTCTGCCGACTTCAAAGCAGAGTAAATTACATTTACTTTGTAATGCTTGCATCATTATTCATCCTCTTTATCAGCAACCAATCAGCAGTGTGTGTGTGTGTTTGTGTGTGTGTGTGTGTGTGTGTGTGTGAACTCTATATGCCTCGTTAATATTTAAACTGTATTATTACAACAACCAATAACTATTAATCAGCTGTTAAAAAAAAGTACAAAATAAACTTGTGTAAAACAATATTATTGAAAATGTAAATCTCTGGACCGGTGAAATAAATCTGTCAACACAGGGCGATGGAAAGATTTGATTCATAAACATCTGCTTGGCTGAAGAAAACATAAGATGTGAAGCTTGTGAGACACGTTGGTTGTTAAACAGCTGAAACAAACAAGAGCTTCCTGTTGTTTTTGTGATAATAATTGAATGTGTGAAGTTTCCTGTTCGGCTGACACTTTATTTTCCTCCGGAGACGAAGCAGCAGCAGAAAAAGTTGAAGTAGCGTGAAGAGATATTGAAATGAAATGGTTGGGAGGCAGCCCCCAGGCCTTTATTCAAATGTTTTTTTCTTTAATTTTGGTTCAATAAAGCTGGACGTTGAGCCATCAGCAGTCAGACACTTAATTAAATACCTCAGCGGCTGTCGGAGCCGTGCGAAGCCTGCGTGGAATAGTAATGGACATAAAGAGAAACATTTGTCAGCCTGATGAGTGAGAGATAAATCTGAGCTGCTCCACGTCTGATCACATAAATAAAGAAAAATCACACCCAGATGTTTGACGTTCACATACGAGCACTCATTTTGATGTAGACTTAGTAGAAGTACTTAGTATTAATGCCCTGAATAGTAGTAGTACTAGCAGTATCAGTTGGAGGCATAGCAGCCAGATACAGTAGTTGCTGTCGTTGCAGTAGTATTAATTATAGTTGCAGCTGAGTAGCCATAGTCTCAGTAAAAGTATTAATAGCAGTATTAGTAGAAGTAGTAGCAGCACTGACATGAGTAGTAGTCTAGTATTAGTACTGACTACATGCTGGTAACTGCAGATGATATTATAGCTTGTGACGTGCAAGTAATAGTAATAGTAATAGTAGTAGTAGTAGTTGTATTGGTGATGGCAGTAAAGTGTACCTGGGCCGCGTCGTACAGTATTTTTACACACACGTTGTGGTATCTGGGAAAACATCAGGCTCGGGTAGTTTTCAGGTTCGGACTGTAGAGCTGCTCTCTACATGGCAGGAGTACTTGTAGCTGTTAGTGGTAGCAGCATTTGGAGTATTTGTCCTTGGTACTAACCCTCAGTATGAAATACCATGTAGCAGTATTCTTCATGTGACTTTAACCTTCATCAGAACACAACTGAAACACAACAGATTGTACTGAAATGGAAGTGAATGTCAGTTTTTCACAGTTTCCTGGAACAGAGGAAACAAGCGTCTGTATGTGAAATCATGTTGTACATATTACATACATGTTGACCGAGGAGCTCAGCCAGGCGTGAGCAGCGAGCGTGTTAAATGAATAACAGTGAAGATGTTTCAGAAATGAGACAGAAACCATTACTGTCACTTGGACCTTGAGCTGCATGGAACAGCAGCTGATTCAGGGCAGAGCGAAGGTTCAACATCTGAGAAGAATCATTTACACCTTCTCTTATTTCATCCGTTCTTTTTTATCACCATCGCTCCACGTTCACACGTCTGTCGTCAACAATCTTCACTTCTGTCACTTCCAGGAATTCACTTTCTGTTTCCTGCACACGTTTACAATCTGTTCAATACGTTCTTCTGCCTTCACGTCAACGTGCACTACCACCACCTACTAGTCTATATNCACACACACACACACACACACAGACGAGTCGTCATCACTGCATCAGTCGTAGGAAACTCCTGAGCAATGACCACTTTTTACCATTTAATCTTAAAACAGCACAGATCTTCATTTCTCTTTGTGGTTTATTAGCAGTTTTTATGACACAGAAATCCACATGAGAAGTGCATTTAGTGTTAATTTTGTTTTCCATACTCCACATCCCATTTTCAGGGTTTCTGCATGGAGGTTCTGTTTGTTTGGAAATGTGTATAGAATATTCAAGTGCGTGGTGGTGGAGGAAAAAAAGAATATTGTACATTGTGTAAAATGCTTCATTAGGAAAATGTTTTGCATAATATCCATATTTATTGTTTTCATTGCCTCTGCTGAGTTTCCACAAGCAACAAACTACAATAAATGAGAAATGCTGCATAATCGATTTGTTCTTCTGCTGCAGAAGTTTGTAAAAGAAAAAAACATTTCAGAAAGAAGACGTCACATTTATTTCAGAAATACAAAATATCACAAAGGCTATATCTGAGAGGAGGAAATAAAAAAACACAAAACTATGTACAAAGAAAAACTGGGAGTTCAGCTCGTCTCCGAGCGACTGGGTGAAGAACAGCTTCTGGGTCACGCTGTCAGACGAGATGTGTTCAGGTGCAGAGTTAAAGTTTAATCGATTCGAAGAAGTTTCACAACAAGATGAAAAACAGAATCTAAGAGTGAAACCCTTTCTTTTCTCACAAACTCCGTTCATAAAGCTGCAATACCAAAGTTTTGACCAGCAGTTGGCGCCGTTTGACTGCATCACAAGCTTTGAAACAAGGAAACGAGCGATTCTGTTTTAAAGTCTTTTTGATTTAAACAAGCGTCAGTGATCGTTCCTGAACTTGTTACACGTGAACGAGACGTTTGGAAGAAAACTTCTGTGAAGTTTGGAAATTTTGTAAACTTGAAATTCTTTACGATTAAATTCACGATCTACTCGTAACTCGGCGCCCCCTGTGGTCAGCTGAGAGAAAAAAGACCAATGTGCGAATCTGTAGATTCAAAGTCTGAGGATAGAGATTCCCGGAGGGACTTCGTAGATGACGCATCACAACGCTGGAGAATCATGGCAGCTCCGTTAATTCTCCGTTAATAATTAAATACAAACTTCTTCCACACGTTGATGTCTCAGTTTTATCATCGGTTAAAAAGACTTTATTTTTTGAGACAATTACATTTTTCAAATCTCTGAGAGAAAAACAAGGTTGAAAACCTGCTGCACTCGTTCTCTGTCAATTTTAAATTCACAGAGTAAATAGATCCTTCTTCCTCGTTTAACAGGGTTCAGGTTTAAAAATAAATTAATGACATAACTCCTACTTTCTATGATGGTGAGAAACAACAAAATCCTGAGTCCTCGTCGTGCGGACGAGTCAGATCAACTTCGTGTCTTTCAATGTTTTAGTGTTTTTAGAACAAAATTCCCTGTTTGTGTTTCTCCGAACACTTTGTGAGTTTGTTGTTTCATGAGCTTCTGTCCAGTACGAAGGGAAGTGAAACGTTACAGTACGTTTAAGTTTCAGATTGAGATCAGTGACGGTTCCTCTGGGATGATTTCTATGAACTGTCACGGACGTCGTCAGCAGAGTGAGCGAACGTGTTGGAAGTCGATGAGTCCGAAACATTCAGAAGAAGAAAGACGATCGATAGATGAAAATCAGAACTACACTTTGACTTTGATGTTTCATCACATTTATCCAAAGTCTCTGATCAAAGGAGTGACGTCACATTCTGTTGTTTAGACGAACTTTACATCTAAAAACTGAAGAGTTGGATTTTCTGGTGTGTTTTGACTGAACGTCGTCTCAGATGTTGGAGCCGAGACGAGGTTTCAGAATGAGGTAGAGGAATCAAAGGAACATAACAGTCATCAAAGCATCAGTATGAAAAGTCTCAGTTTTATCAAACGTAACGTGATTCATTCATTCTTAGATCCATGAATATGTTTGTTTTCAGAGGAACTGTTGGAGTTAAACTCAGAAGACGACGTCTGTCCGACTCAAACGAGCGAAAACGTCCACGATTCAAACAACAAGCGTCTTTTCAAGCAGGAACAATCAGTGTCTTTATTTAGTTTCACCCTGAAAACTGTGGATCTTCTACATTTCATGTAGATAGAAAAGGTTTCGAAGACGTGGAAACATGCTTTTGTTTAAGGCTTTAGTATCTGAACCATGAGATCTGACCCCAGATCAGCGCTGCTATGACAACCAGCCTCCGTCTCCCACAGTCCTGGGGGTGATGATGCTGTCCTTCGCCTGCAGGAGGCGCTCCAGACAAGGCGATCTGATCTTGAAGTGCAGCGCCCCCTGGCTCAGGCGAGGGTGAGTGCAGGAGCGGCCCCGGGGCCACGTGAGCGAGTCGGTGCTGGAGGAGACGGCGTTGTCCTGGGTCACTTCCAGGGGGTGGAGCCTCGACTCGAGAGGTTTCACGGGCGCCGGGTGAAGTCGTTTGAGGTGAGAGGAGGAGGAGGCTGAGGAGCAGAGAGGCGGAGGAGGGGAGGCACTGTGATGATGAAGATGATGCTGGAGGAAGAAGAGGAAACAAACTTCATTTTCTGTCACATGATTCCATCAGGCTGGTTTCACATTACCCAGAATTCAGTTCATCTGTCAACAGGAAGTTTCGCTGTGTCTGATAATCAGAAGGTTTACACACAAACGTCTGGACGTGAAACTCAGAGGACGGATGTTTTCTGGGTCAGAGGAAACTCATCGATCGTTCTACAGAGCGGCTGCATGTGAGAACTCAAATGTCCAAATGAGAAACTCTGGACTTTCTCCTCCGGAAAAACTCCGGATAATGTCCGGCTGAGCTGATGAGGGAGACTGTCAGGAGGATTCACCACGAGTCACGTGGTCAGTCTAACATGTGACAAGTTAAAAACTGAAAAAAAACGAAAAGAAGAAAAATCTGCGTTGACAAACTCTGGAGAAAGTTAAACTACTCAAGAGAATAATTCATGGATCTTACAACTGATATTAAATTATATTAAATGATATTAAATTATATTAAATTATATTAAATTATATTAAATTATATTAAATGATATATTCAGAGGATTTTGATATAAATGAGTGAGATTTGGTGCAAATCCAAATAAAAATCGATCTTATATTTTATTTAAACTTGGTTTCATAAGGAAACTGTGACGATAGCTTTTTATAACATTTAAACATCATCACATTTTATTTTGTGAAGTTTCACCTTTTGCTTCTTCGCCGCCGTGCTGTCGTCCGTCTGAGGATTTGGTTTAATATGAGGAAACCAGCTTTGAAGCATTTCTTCTATTTTCAGTACGATGCTGAGGAAGCGTCCGCTAGAGGAGAGACACAGAAACAGTTTTAATATACGATGATATACTTTACTAACTAATATTCTATGTTTATAATATATATATATGTGTGCATAAATGAGTCGCCCCCTGCTGGTCAGAACACAGAAGACAGGTTCAGGTCTGTGGCGTCTTATTTTTAAAGAGTCTATGAATGGAACTGTAAATCTGCAGATCGTTCTAATGATCAGAAGTTGATTCTGTGACAGTTTGTATAAAAACACATTCACTTCGTTGCAGTGAGAAGAGTTTCCTCTGAAATAAGTATAAATAAAACCAGACGCACTTTAAATGTGCAGCTCAGTGAAACGGTGCAGAACGAAGACACGAGGTGAAGTCATGTGTTTCCTTCACCGTCACATTTCACAGCCGAGCTGCAGCTCAGATGGATCAGGGACGTCTCGCCAATGGTCATTACATAAGCCCCATAAAGCCTCTGACACACATCCAGCAGCCGGCCTGATTGGTGGACAACGTGAAACAGCACAAAGACTGAATCAATAAAAAGTGTGTGTGTGTGTGTGTGTGTGTGTGTGTGTGTGTGTGTGTGTGTGTGTGTGAACATTCCTGTGTGATGTATCTCAGCATCTGCATGTGAGCATCAGACGATGAGGACAGAGGAAGCATGTTCAGCTCCACATGAGAAATGTGACCGTGCTGCTGCGGAGCTACACACACACACACACACACACACACACACACACACACACACACACACACACACACACACACACACACACACACACACACGCTGCAGCCCACACGTGGCAGCGGGGGAGGGCCCTCGTTCCATTCACAGGCTATAAATAGACCAATAAACCCTGGAGCTGCATGTGGAGGCTCCGCCCTCTAACAGCATCACATCGCAGACACACACCACCTCACCGACGTCACACAACACACGAGTGACAAAAATAAACACGTATACAGACGAACACTTTCCAACACAACTGTTCCACATGAAACCAGAGATGGAAACACGAGAAGAAGAAGTGAACTTGACTGGATTCAGAAAAGAACTCAAATAAAAAGGAACTAAACCACGAGAATGAATTAAATCTCACGTCCTGTTGCTTTGACCACATTTACTGTGTGTGTGTGTGTGTGTGTGTGTGTGTGTGTCTGTGTGTGTGTGTGTGTGTGTGTCTGTGTGTGTGTAGTATTAGTCGTATTGTTTCTTATTCAGTCTGAAACCTACAAACTGAATTTTTTTCTGCAGGTGTGTGAATGACACGTTTCACTTTTCTACATATCTCTGCTCACTCTTTATTTATTCATTTATTATCTCAGCTGCCGACATCACTGGATCAGCTGTGTCACCGAGCTGCAGCCGACAAGTGACGTCATGTTGTTAAATGTTATCTGCAGCCTCTCTGTCATGTGTCAAACCAGAACTCTTTTATCACGTTTGAACAATCGATCACGTTTGTTACTCCTGAAACTCCAGAAGTAAAAGAAGAAGCTCTGAACAGCGTCTAAACTATTTCCAAGGTGAAGAGCGAACAAGAACCTTCTTCCTGAAGTTGTAGTTTAGAATGATTATTATTATATTGTTATAAAGCTAATCCTTTAGCTGCTAAGATAAGATAAACCTTTATTGATCCTCCACAGAGGACACTAGCGCAGTAAGCATCATCACCCTGCGGCGTCCAGGTGGTCAAACGGTTTGAGCTCAGATGCCTTGAGCAGCTGGTCCCCGGTTTGACTCCCGGATGGTTGTACCACTTCCGGCCTCCGCTTCCCTATCAAATTAAGAGCTTTAGGGTCTTAAATGTACTGACGTCACATATCCGAGCTTCTGTCGTGACCAGCTCAGAAACGTGTGTCTGCTCCGTCCTGATAGAGTCGAGTCGACGGAACATCAGGAAAACGCAGCTTTTTAAACGACCTGCAGACGTTTTCCTGCGATTGTCAGAGAAACTCCTCCCGTCTGGCATCGAACCTGAGACCAGGATGGAGAGCGGTCGGAACTCGTTTGAAGATTTATTTCACATGTGAGTCGTTAGCGTGGGGTCGAGGAGAGTCCAGCAGTGAAATGAGTTCATCTGAGGGGAAATGTTTCAACTGAATAAAGTTTCTCATTGAGAAAATTAACGTTGGAATTAAAACAAACTTCCTCTTTGTTCAGTTTCATCTCAGACCTGAAGCTTTAACTTTGTTTCTCAGGTTTTACAAGGAAACATCGGTTTATATTATTATATCATTTTTCACTTTGACACTGAGCTGAACATGAAGTTAGTAGTTACTATATATATATATATATATATATATATATATGTACTGTCCACTGCAGCAAACACATGTTGAAGTATTTCTTGAGGTATTTACCCCATGTGTGGATTCTGCAGGACCCCCAGTATTCTCTGGATACGGTCCACGGCCACGCTCTCTTGAAAACTGCTGAGACCTGCAGGAGAAAAGAGAATCCTGCAGTGAGTCTGAGGACAAGAGGAGGAGTCCAAACACTTTCAGGGTTCTGACCTGAATATATATATATATACAGTATATAATGTATATGAATATATACATATATATATATATATATATATATATATATATATGCACGCCTTAAGAAGCACAGTGGAGTGGGTTTTTTCTTCTATTGGTGAACGTATTTAAACCAGATGTTTACTACGTGGGACCCTTGATTGACACTTCAGACCCTGAAAACCTCAACAACTCTGAAAAAACTCTTTTAAACGTCTGAGTGTCATGTGACGTATGAAAATCACTTCAGTGAATCTTTCTAACTTATATTTAAACCAAACACGTGATAAAGAAAATTCAGTTTCGTCTGACGAACAACATTGAGTATAAAATCTTCAGTGCAGATGAACCAGGTAGGATGAACACAAAGTTTTCTAACTTCACTCTGTTTATAAAAAGCTCTGCACACAAACTACAGAAATATGATATAAGAAAGAACACAACATTACAAACACACGTTTACAACATGGAATCTGAGGCTCAGTGTCTCTTCACGTGTGTTTACATCAGCTCCACACGTGTTCGTGAACAAACGTGTAAACTTACGTTCAGAGTAGCGTCCTGACCTCAGGCTGCGCAGGATGGACGACAGAGGAGGGATGTAGCTCTGCAGCTGTGAACACTGTGGACAGAGAGCCGAGTGAATCCTCATGTTACCGCACATGTTACTAACATGTAACTAACATGTAACATGTAACTAACAACCCCACACGGCAGAGCTCACGATTACACAAGTCACATAATCAGTTCTAATCTGGTGTGTGTGTGTGTGTGTGTGTGTGTGTGTGTGTGTGTGTGTGTGACTTGTTCAGGGACTTTTCATCCATTAACTCCCATTCAATGTCATTAGCTTCATGCTAACTCTAAAAGCTAATTGTCCACAGGCTCTTCGGCAGCTGATGGAGAGAACGACTGACACCTTCGCTCTGAGACTCTGATTGTGTCGCTGCAGTTTTTTTTTTAACCTATTTCCCACAATACCTTTGACAACCACCAGGTGAACCGGAGCTGCCGGCCTTCAGAGGAGTAAAGAAAAAGTACCATCTTCAATAATCTTCCATTAACCCGGAGAAAGGACGTTTTACTGTTTCCTGCCACAGACTGTAAACAAAGATGGACGCCTCCCTCTTCACACATGAAGTGAGTCAGCAGCGATCGTAGAGCGGAGCCGTGACATCGAGGTCCTGCTCGTACACGAGTGATAAGAACTTCCTAAAACTACAGAAACTGTCTTTGGAAAAAGTATTTAAATTGTACTTTGAATTTCAAGTTTGGTCCATGTCCCATCTGCTAACATGGAGGAAGCTGTGGTCCATCTTTGTTTACAGTCGGTGGTTTAGGAACCTTCATCTTCATCATATTAGATTTGTTCTTGTTTCTTAATGTTCTGCTGAGAGAAGACTTTAGATGATGTCCCTGAAGTCTACGGTGTGGACAACAGAGACATAACATGCAGGTCCGTCTGTCCTCCACCATCACAGAAAGACAAACGCTCTCACCTTGTGCGAGAACAGTTCATTTTCAGTGTCTTCTTGAGGCTTTTCACAGAGTTCGTCCAAACTGGCGTCGTGTGTCCTCTTCCTGTTTGAACCACGTGACTCCTCAGGAAGTGTCTGCTGCGTCGAAACTGAAGTAAATCCCTGAAGTGCACTGAGTGACGGAGAACCTCCATCTTTACAGTCAGAGGAGTCTCTGTGAGCGGCCGCAGCCTGGCGGCAGCTTGTAGGGGCTTCTCTTGATGAAGACGAAGAGGACGAGGAAGATGACGGTGACACCAGCTCCGCTCTGTCCTGAGGACTCGACCTGTTGGAGCCGTCGTAGTCTTCCTCATCACTGGCGAGCCAGTCAATAGAATAATCCGAGTCTGAGGTGGACATGTTGGAGTTCGAATCTCAGCCAGCAGAGAGCATCACGGACCTGCCACACAAACACGTGTTAAACATGTTAAACACGTGTTAAACATGTTTTGATGTTGTTTAACTGAGCTGAGCCTCAGTACACAGTTCATGATATGAACGATGCAGCCGTGACGACACGAGGAGCTGGAACAAGCTGAAATTAATTACTAATGAATTATAGATAAATGAAACCAGACGATGTAACACAGCTGCTTCAGCAGAAAACAGGAAGTTAAAACCAAAACAACTCATCACTTCCTCCGGTCGACTCAAAGATCATCAAGCAGCAACGTCAGGATTTTGATGATCAATTCAAAGTTTCACTCTTTGTTTCTAATTAGATGTTTGAAATCCGGACTCCAGCTTCTCCGATGATGTTAACGCTCTGACATTTACGTAGATTCATTTTGTATTCTTATTTTGAATGATTGTAATTATCTGAATATATCATTTAATATAATTTAAACCCACAGAACTTCAGAAACGTTATGATTGACAGCTGAGACGGACTCGTGATTGGTCAATCTCAGTGGGACCTCGTTACCGTGGCTTCACATGATGTCATCTTTTTTTATTTTGTGACGTAAATATCTGGAACCAATGACGTGACCTTTAAAAACACGTCTCCCTCATATTTCCCCTGAATTCGATTTAAAGTAGTTCCAGCTCTTCACTGGAGTCATGTGATGTTGAAACATCTTCATCCTCATTAAACTGTCCGACGGTTCAGTTCGTGGATTTCAGAGTCAAACTTCTTCTCGTTTCATTTGAGTTTGTAAAAGTTTCTCTGTCACGTGTTTGAATCGAGTCGCTCTGATCGTCCTGAGGTCAGAGGTCAGAGGTCAGAGGATTCAGTTCCCTCCAGTTCAGATGTCCAACATGATGAAGGACACACACTGACATTATACATTCACTAGTCCCTAACTTAACCCCTTACCCACCTTAACCATCACGACTCAATCACTAATCCTAACCTAAACCAGATCCTAACCTAAACCAGATCCTAACCTTAACCATCACGACTCAATAACTAATCCTAACCTAAACCAGATCCTAACCTAACAATCACAACTCAATAACTAATCCTAACCTAAACCAGGTTCTAACCTAAACCAGATCCTAAACTAAACCAGATCCTAACCGAAACCAGGTTCTAACCTAAACCAGGTTCTAACCTAAACCTAATCTAACTCTGACCTAAACGTTATCCACCTTAACCAACGCAACTAAATAACTAACCTAAACCTAAACCTGATTATAATCCTAACACAAGTCTAAACCCTCAAACAGCTCAGTGAAGAATGAGGACCAGACAACACGTCCTCACAAGGAGCCTCATCACTACTGCAAGACACACACACACACACACA